TTTTTAGAATCGTATATTTCACAAGCATCATTCTAGTTTTTTTTTTTTTTTTTTTTTTTTTTTTTTTTTTTTTTTAGAATTATATTTTTCATTTCTAGTTTTTTTTTTTTTTTTTTTTTTTTTAGAATCGTTATTTCACACAGCATCATTCTAGTTTTTTTTTTTTTTTTTTTTTTTTTTTTTTTTTTTTTTTTTTTTTTTTTTTTTTTTTTTTTTTTTTTTTTTTTAGAATCGTATATTTCACAGGAAAAGTTTAGTTGAACAAGGAGACGGACATTTCGCCATATTATTCGTTGTACACTTGGCGGACGGATAACCTGGGTTGCCATTTCCGTAAGTGTTTGAGTGTAAATTTCACATCAAGGAACATATATTCGTTTTTTACGCATGTCCCTTTCGTTACTTTTAAACTTGAAACTTGAACCATGGACAAAATATCACTTGTCATGCAACAATCATGTTGAACAAATCATCACTTATGTCACACAAATATGTGAACAAATATCACTCTGAACAAATCATGTCACTTGAACAATCATGTCACTTGACAAAATCATGTCACTTGAACAAAATCACTTGATGTCACAAATCATGTGAACAAATCATGTCACTTGAACAAATCATGTCACTTGAACAAATCATGTCACTTGAACAAATCAAATGAAAAATCATGTCACTTGAACAAATCATGTCACTTGAACAAATCATGTCACTTGTGTCAAACAAATCATCATGTCACTTGAACAAATCATGTGTCACTTGAACAAATCATGTCACTTGAACAAATCATCATGTCACTTGAACAAATCATGGTCACTTGAACATCATGTCACTTGAACAAATCATGTTTCATTCTTTGCTTGCCTCTCCTATGCTTCCTATAAACCTGTTGCGCCTCGAGTTGAACGGCTCTGCAAAGTGCCTGTCGAGAGCTCAGTCTGTCGTGACGTGGATCGGACGAAAGAAGAGGGTCGTTGTGTGACTCCCTTAGGCGGGCGTCGGTCTCGGTCTCTGGTCCGGTCTCGGTCTCTTCGGTTTCTACGAGGGTTGTTGGTTTCTCTCGAGTGGCGGCCGTCGAGAGAGGCTTTCGTGGGACTCTCTGGTGAGGGACTCGACCTGCCTTCACCGCCTGTGGTCCTTGGGTCTCCACCGGCACGGCCTCGTTGACTCTGGCATGTGGTGGGGGGGGGGTGGAGGCGGAATGGTGGAGGGGGAGTGGTGGAGGCGAAGAAGTGGAGGGGGAGTGGTCTGGTCTGGTCCGGGTCGGTCGGGTCTCGGTCTCTGGTCCGGGTCTCGGTCTCGTGGTCCGGTTCTCGGTCTCTGGTCCGGTCCCGGGTCTCTCTGGTCCGGTCCTCGGTCTCTGGTCCGGTTTTCTGCGAGGGTTGTTGGTTTCCTCTCGAGTGGCGGCGTCGAGAGAGGCTTCGTGGGACTCTCTGGTGAGGGACTCGACCTGCTTCACCGCCTGTGGGTCCTTTGGTCGCCACCGGCAGGCCTCGTTGACTCTGGCATGTGGGGGGGGGGGGGTGGAGGCGGAATGGTGGAGGGGAGTGGTGGAGGCGAAGAAGTGAGGGGTGGTCTCGGTCTCTGGTCGGGTCTCGGTCTCTGGTCCGGTCTCGGTCTGGTCCGGTCTCGGTCTCTGGTCCGTCTCGGTCTCTCGGTCCCCGGTTCTCTCGGTCTCGGTCTCTGGTCCGGTTTCTGCGAGGGTTGTTGGTTTCCTCTCGAATGGCGACGTCGTGAGAGGCTTTCGTGGGACTCTCTGGTGAGGGACTCGACCTGCTTCACCGCCTGTGGTCCTTGGGTCTCCACCGGCACGGCCTCGTTGACTCTGGCATGTGGTGGGGGGGGGGTGGAGGCGGAATGGTGGAGGGGGAGTGGTGGAGGCGAAGAAGTGGAGGGGGAGTGGTCTCGGTCTCTGGTCGGGTTCTCGGTCTCTGGTCCGGTCTCGGTCTCTGGTCCGGTCTCGGTCTCTGGTCCGGTCTCGGTCTCTGGTCCGGTCCCCCGGTCTCTGGTCCGGTCTCGGTTCTGGTCCGTTTCTGCGAGAGTTGTTGGTTTTCCTCTCGAGTGGCGGCGTCGAGAGAGGCTTTCGTGGGACTCTCTGGTGAGGGACTCGACCTGCTTCACCGCCTGTGGTCCTGGGTCTCCACCGGCACGGCCTCGTTGACTCTGGCATGTGGTGCGGGGGGGGGTGGAGGCGGAATGGTGGAGGGGGAGTGGTGGAGGCGAAGAAGTGGAGGGGGAGTGGTCTCGGTCTCTGGTCGGTCTCGGTCTCTGGTCCGTCTCGGTCTCTGGTCCGGTCTCGGTCTCTGGTCCGGTCTCGGTCTCGTCCGGTCCCGGTCTCTGGTCCGGTCTCGGTCTCTGGTCCGGTTTCTGCGAGGGTTGTTGGTTCCTCTCGAGTGGCGGCGTCGAGAGAGGCTTTCGTGGACTCTCTGGTGAGGGACTCGACCTGCTTCACCGCCTGTGGTCCTTGGGTCTCCACCGGCGCCCTCGTTGACTCTGGCAT